AGGAGAAGGGAGCTCAGGGCTTCCTGAGCAGCTTTTCCCCAGGATCCATTTGGGATTTCTGGCTCTGTGCTGTGTCCAGGAGAGCTCAGGCCGTTCTCCACAGCATTTTTCCCATGCAAATATCGGGATTTTGGCTGCCCTGCCCCATCATCTGTGCACAATTCCTCCATGGAATGAGACCTCCCCAGCAATGAACCATCACATCCCAGCACAGCAGCTCCATGGCATGGAAAAAAAACCAACCCCATTTTGTACTTTTGTAAATGGAGTTTTTACAAAGTCTCCGTGCAGCAAAGATGGGAAATTTGCTGTGAGGTGATGGAGAATGGAGCAATGTGCAATTAAAGATTTGTAAGCATCTTTCATTATTGTGGAGAAAAATTCCATGAAGGCCTGGATCCCATCCCTTCACGTTTCATTATGGAGCCAGCACCTGCCATTCACTGGTTTTTCCACCTTTCCCTCCTTTGCTTCCAGAACATTTTGGTTCCAATAACTTTTAATTCCTTAGAGCAAACACTGATCAGCAGGAGAATGGAGTGGAAGATTCCAGAAGAGGAGTTTTACACGGGAAGGATGACTTGGATGATTTCAGGGCAGTTATGAAAATCCTGCTTGGACAGTTGGGATTGCCAGGAATATCCCACAAGGATAAAGGGTTGATCCTGACGGAGGGGAGAGCTTTGGGATTCCCAGGAATATCCCACAAGGATAAAGGGTTGTTCCTGAAGGAGAGGAGAGAATTGGAATTCTCAGGAATATCCCACAAGGATAAAGGGTTGATCCTGAAGGAGAAGAGAGCATTGGGATTGCCAGGAATATCCCACAAGGATAAAGAGTTGATCCTGACAGAGAGGAGAGAATTGGGATTTCCAGGAATGTCCTACAAGGATAAAGGGCTGATCCTAACAGGGAAAGAATTGGGATTCCCAGGAATATCCCATAAGGATAAAGGGTTGATCCTGACAGGGAAAGAATTGGGATTCCTAGGAATATCCCACAAGGATGAAGGGCTGATCCTGACACAGAGAACCCCTCTGGCATTTCCAGGAATACCCCACAAGGATAAAGGGCTGATCCCGAGGAAAAGCAGGGATAGGGAGGATCCCAAGGCAGTGCTGACTCCTGATCCAGGTACTGGACACCACAGGAATTTCTGATGCCAGAGCATTTCGTTTCGGGGAATTATTTTCCCCATTCCCATGCTGTGAAGAAGCAGCAGGAGCTCCTTCTCCCCCCCAGTCCAACCCCAATTCCAAGGAATATCCCCGGAATTCCCGGAGGTTCCGCAGCCCCAGAGCCGGGCACAGAGCCCAGAGGGACACGGGAGGTTACCTTGGGAAGCTCCTCGATCTGGTTGGCATCGAGGTAAAGCTCCTCCAGGGTCCTCTCGAAGTTGAAAACCTCCTTGGGCACCTGCTGGAGGCCACAGTGGGAATAATCCAGCACGGAGACGATCTCCTCCTCCCCGCGGAAACAGCGGCACGGCACCAGGCGCCCGATGAGCTTCCTTTTGCTTGTCATCTCCAAGCAGCATACTGAGGGAAAAGGGAGGGAAAAGGGGATTTCAGCAGGGTTTTTTTTTTTTTTTTTTGGGGGGGGGATGTTCTCGGTGTAGCCTGGAAAGGGGTTTTAACCCTTTAAGGTGCGCAGTTACATGGGTGTCTGTCGTGGCAGGAAGGAAGAGCCAAGTTTATTCAGGAACACACTCGGTTTTATAGCAGGACTGCAACTCCCAGAGCAGAGAAAAGGAGATTGGTTCAGAGAGAAGACACCCCATGGCCAGGGCCTGGGCACACACCACAACAGGGCTTTGATTTTGTTATTAATTCCTTTTTATTGTGACCAAATTATCACCCTGGGAGAAATTCTCCCTGGCCTTGAGCTGGAGCAGCTCATGGGCTGGGAACAGAGCTGAGAAGCTCCAGCCTGGAATATTTTTCAGGCTGTGATTTTCTGACTTTTTCAATCTGTGTCCCACATCTTGGGACATTTCCCCAGGGAGATCCGGGGTCTGCATTGTGAGGTTTTTGGGGCTCCTCTCTGGAATGGAAAGGGTTTGGAGTGGGGTGGGAAAACCTGGATGCTGCAGGTGTGGAAGGGAACACTCCAAGGTTGGCTTTAATGGGAAAATGAGCCATGGGAAGGCACAGAACCCAAACACATCCATGGAAGAACAGAGCCCAAACACATCCATGGGAGCACAGAGCCCAAACACATCCATGGAAGAACAGAGCCCAAACACATCCATGGAGGAACAGAACCCAAACACATCCATGGAGGAACAGAGCCCAAACACATCCATGGAAGCACAGAGCCCAAACACATCCATGGAAGAACAGAGCCCAAAGACATCCATGGGAGCACAGAACCCAAACACATCCATGGGAGCACAGGGCCCAGCCCAGCTCAGGTGGAGGCACCTGGCTCTGGTTCCCGTGGGAAATGGGGATTGTCGCTGCATTCCCCACACCAGCAGAGCTCCCGTGGGCTCCTGCAGCAGCTGAGGGAGGCAGGAATGGAATCCTTGGCTACAGAGCAATCCCAAACCATTCCTGCTCCTCCCGTGCCACCACACTGCTGGGAACTCCTGCAAAATCCTTTTCCTGCACTAAAATACACACCCAGGAGCTTTTCCCAAATTTCTGCCACCCTCAATCCCAGCCAGGCAGATCCTCCCTCACTCCCAGCACCCCCAGCTCAGTGAGTGACTTTACACAGTGCCCTGCTCCTTGTCACTGGGATAAAACCACTGCAGGATGGAGGGAACAGTCCAAAAGCAGATTTTTGGAGCAGGTCAAGCAGTCCCCAAATCCATCCTGGACACCTCTAGGAATTATTTAAACTTTCTGGATAAACCAGGCTGTCCTGAAATGTATTTACCACAAATAGGGCTCGACCTTCAACTCCCATTTTCCAAAGCACTTCCAAGGTTTTGAGTTGTATTTGGGAAAGAAATGCACTAAATTAGTCCAAAGAAAGCAAAATAAGGTTTTTGTAGAAAGCACCAGTATGGAATGGAAGGACCTGGGCTACCATTGAAAGGAGTAGAATTTCACACCCTGTGGGCTTGTGGTAATTAAAGCTTTTATTAATTTCAGCATTATTAATTCCTACCCTGGACTAATTCCAGCTTTGGTAATTACACTTTCCTTCCCTACATTTTGCTCTCTCCTGATGTTCAGAGATCTTTTCCTTGGTGCTGGTGGCTGCTCGTGGAAAAGGATCAGTCCAGGAGCCTGAGCTGAGCCAGGGACCCAGCAGCTCCATCCATTCCTTAATCCCTGCAAGGGATTCCTCATCCCCTTTCCACTGCCCCTGCAGACACCACAGCTCGCTGCTTTTCCCCATTTAAGAACCAAAATTCCCCACAGCTGAGTCCTGAGGTCATTGCCCCACGTCACACATTCCACGGGGAGATCAGACCCCCCCCAAACGAGCTCAAAAATCAGATTATTTCTGGAATAAAGACACAGAAATGAGGAAAGCAGCATAAAATAACCTGCTCCAGCAAGCTCCCGTTTCCTTTCTCTTATTAGCAGCACAATCAACACAATTCAGATGGAATTCCTTCCCAGTGTCCCATCTAAATATCCAACAAAGAATCCAATCTAAACCTCCCCCTTTTTTAAAGCACATCCCTCTTTTCTCCAAATCCCATCGAAGCCTGGTTTGGAAAGCAGGAGCCCTTCCTGGAGCCCTGACCAGGATTCAGCTGCTCCAGGGTGGCTGCTATGATTTCAGGAAGGCACTGGGAAGTCCCCACTTTGTTCCACCACCCCAGAATTCACATTTTCTCTGCCAAAAGAGATTTGATAACGGGGACTGACTACACGTAAGAAATGGAACAAAGCTGAGCTTAAGGTTGGAATTAAAAAAGAAAAAAAAACTCTCGAATTCCCTTCAGCCCGAAGCCTTTTCTCCGTGGATATTCTCTTGGCACTGGCCAGACATCCACTTTTATTTCCTTTCTTCCCTTTAATTAATCCTGTGGGCTGCCTGGCTGATTTCCACAGTGTCCAGTTGCAGTCTGGGTCACTGCAATAATTAGGGAACATCAAAGCTCTGGAATCATCTTCATTTCCAGCCCCACATCTCAATTAGAAACACAACCCCGTTAATAATTCAGAGCTTTGAAGGAACGGAGGAAGCTTCTCTCTGCATTTACAACCACGTGGAACCTTTTCCACAGCTTTGCCACCTCCTCATCCAGATTTTTGCTTTTCAAATTTGCTGCTCACCTCTCTGCAAGCTGCAGCTTCGCACAAGAACGGGGAGGGTTTTTTAGCACTTTGTTTCCTTGCTCCGTGGGTTGTGTAACTCTCACTGCCTCTACCTTGCGTTTTTTATCCCAAACTTTTGTCTCCAGCTGTAATCCCGCACTTGTGACACGGGAATTGTGCTTATGTAAGCTCTGACATCAGTCCTCGCTGCTCTTTTGCATTTCCTCCCCATTTTCCCCTCCAGGAAAAGCCTCTGGTGGGGTGGAATCTGCTCATCCCCTGCCTGGAAAGCCGCCCTGCCCTTCCTGAAAACTCTGCTTGATTTCCCCAGCAGATACCTGGATGGGAAGGAGCATTCCCAGCCTGGATCCTGCCCCTCTGCCCAGGTGAGACCTCACCTGAGACCTCACCTGAGACCTCACCTGAGACCTCACCTGCAGAGCTGCCCCGGCCCTGTCCCAGCTCAGGGAGGAGCTGGAGCTGCAGGACAGAGTCCAGGATGAGCAGAGGGATGGAGAAATGGGGACAGGACACGGGGAAAAACTTTCCATTGTCAGAGGGCAGGGATGGATGGGATTGTGGGAAGGAATTCCTGGCTGGGAGGGTGGCACAGGTGCCCAGAGCAGCAGGAAATTCGGGCTTGGAACACCCTGGGACAGTGGGAGGTGCCCCTGCCCATGGCAAAGGGTTGGAATATTTTATGTCCCAAAAAAAAAAAACCATCAGAGAGGATGGGTCACAATGACCTTGGAAGGCTTTTCCAGCCCCAGGAATCCTGGGATTCTCCACTGGAAGTTGTTCCATTTCCTCCCATTTACACTTTTCCACACCCTGCTTAGAAGCAAGAAGAATTTTCTCCCAAACTTGGCCCCCGAGCCAGGTGAGGGAGTGGGGAATGTCACTCTTCTGTTCCTAATTGGAAATGCAAAATTAGGGATTTATTTGGGTCGTGTAAGCCATCGCTAATAGCCTTCATTAATTTCCTGAAAGATTAAGGAACTGAAGTCACAATAACAGAATTATTAGGGAGCTTCCAAAGGGGAATTGGCCTTATCAAAGAGAGGGGTGTGCAATATTATCTGAATTGTTTTCCTGCACAGAAATTCCCAGATAAGCAGCATATCTCCCCCAGAAATGCCATTTAATGCTGGTAATTGAATCCTCTTCGTTACGTGCCCCTTACAATGGTCTGCATTCAGGTTCACACTCAGATTTGGCTAATCCTAAAATAAAATAACCAAGCATGAAAAATCAGATTTCAGCTTTTGTCTCCCGGGAATGTCGATGAGGGGAAGTTTCCCTGGCTCTGCTGCAGGTCCTGGGAGGTCCCTGGAGACCTGAACACTGGGAAAAGGTGCAGAAAAAGGGGAAAGTGCAATTGAAGATTTATTTCTATCAACTATCAGTTTTCAATGCCCAGACCTTACCCCTCTGAGCCACAAAGGCAAATCTTTATCTTTTCTGGTAAGATATGAATTGATTCCAAAGGTTACTATTGAATTTGCCTTGAAATTCCCAATTTCCTCCCTTGAAATTCCTTCCTAAAGGAGCTTTTCTGAGTAAATGATGATGACACCAATTGCAAAGACATTTCAGTGGCAGCAAAAGCAGATGTTGGGGTTGGTTTGGTTATTAAAAAATGTTTGTCCTGTTCCCCTCACAGACAATTCTTGCACAGCCTCAAGGAAAACCCCGGATTCTTTTTATAGAAGCGACAGAATTCCGGTAATTTGTTGCACATTAGTGGCACATGTTGAAAATTAATCATTATGCTGTTAATTGCTAGAAATTCCAATCACTCTTGACAGCTCACCCTGCAGACATTTCAGCAGGAGAGAATCCCAATAAACAAGAGAGATTTCTTTGGGAAGGAGCGTGCTGTCTGGAAATCGGGGAATTTACATTTCTGCTCGCATCTTTGATGTGTGGCAGCTTTTATGTGAAGTAATCCCTTCGTTTAAGAGATGATGTGCTGTGAAATTTGGGAGGAAATGGGCTTTATTTGGTGCTTCATGGAGCAATGGCTGGAAGGGCTCTCCAAAGGAAAACATCATTTACCTGCTGAAGGCGCCACGGGGACACATTGGGATTAAAGTAGGAACAAGGAAAATTCTGGGATTTTTTCCTCACATTCCCTGAGCACTCCCAGGGATAGGGATCCAACCCTCCCTGGGCAGTGCCCATCCCTGACCCCCCTTTCCATGGGGAAATTCCCCAAAATCCACCCTGTCAGATCTGTTCCCAGATTCCAAATCCCCCCGGCTGTCCCCTCCTGTCAGGGAGTTGTGCAGAGCCAGAAATTCC